CTCCGGGAATCTGACTTTTTTGAATTCTACCTAGGTTGCGCTGGATCGCGCTGACGTGGAGCTCGTGTCCGAGTTTGTCCCTGACCCCGACGACGCGGAGGCCGAGCCCGTCCTGCTTCACTGGAGGAGGCGCCTTTTGCAGTAGCAGATCGGGCAGATCCGATCGAAGAACCGAGCTGCACGGCTGCTATTGGAGGGGATCAGGGGGGAGACCCCTGCTGCGCTGGGCGCCAACCACGGTCGAGTGCGTTCGCCACGAAAGTGGTGGGCAGAACTGCTCTACGCTCTGGGGACCCCCCAGTCCGTCGCAGACGACAGTATCCTGATCCAGCATGGAGCGGCATTGGCTGTTGTCAGGACGATACTCCTGGGAGGCTCAGCAGATGAGCGGGGAAAGGCCGTGCTGGCTGAGCATGCGCCCATCCTTCGAAGGTTGCTGGATAGCTACGACGGGGTGTTTTCGACGTTCTTCCTTTCCACGCTCCATCGCTTGTATCGGCTGACGCTGTTTGGACGCGGGGCACTTGGGCTGGGGGTTGGTCGAGCCGGGTGGGCGCTGTCTGCTATCGAGGGGTTGGATGCCTGCATTTGGTTGCTGCAGTTGCGACGGGACGTCCCAGGGTCTTGGAACGAGGAGCGAGAGGAGAGCTACAACTTTTGGAGAGGGAGAGCGAATCGGCTGCTTCTCGGCGTCGAGGCTCTGCGCCCACCAAACCCCCCCGAGTATGCCCTTAACCAAGCCGAGCGCGAGCTGCTGCACGATCGGCTGGGGCTCTCCGGGGACGGACGGCTCCTCGAAGCGCTCCCCGACGACCACCCTTACTGCCGAGAGCAGAACGTGCTCGGCTGCTATCCCCTCCCCGGTTGGGAGCAGAAGCGGCCTCTGCCTCAGTACAAGCCGTTCGAGGATGAGCTTGGTCGGGCCGTCGAAAGCAGCGAGGAGCATCGCTGTAAGAGCGGTCTCACGGTCGGGGAGTTTGACGCCAAGGTTGCGGCTGCCAAGAGTGAAAAGGCGGGCAAGCGGCTGCAACGGCATACAAAAGGGGGCTTCGTGTTCTGTTGCCCGCACAGGGTGATCTACGGCTTCCATGCCATGCTCCGGGGGGAGTCTCCTCGTGATCCGTTCGCCGTGTTGTATACTCGCCTCCATCGGCACAATTTGCCTTCCTTTCTGTTCTACGACAACGTTTGCAAGCTGCGCGCATACAGTATGCGGCGTGAGCCTGGTTTTTTTGCAGACATGCGAGCCCTCGTTGACCGGTGAGCGTATACACCGCAAACACGTCCATGCTTTGCGAACTGGTCGTAATTTTAGGACAAGATAATCAACATTTCCAGGTAGATTCGGTGTCATTCTGCCAGCTGCTGTTCGTGTCCAAGCTGTCCAAGCTTTTTGCCAGACTTTCTGTGAGCCCGATTGTGATGATGTCAGCAACCGTCCCTTGTTCAAGCTGTCCAAGCTTTTGCCAGACTTTCTGGGAGCCCGATTGTGATGACGTCAGCAACCGTCCCTTGTCCAAGCTATCCAATATTGCGCGTACAGGTTCCACTTCCAGAAGACTGGCGCGGAAGCTCACAAGTGCGGCCCTCAGTATAACCCTGACTACTACGATGCTGTGCGCTGGGTTAACAGTTCAGCGGTGGTGAGCGTCAACTCCTTCTTGATCAGGTTCAAGGTGCTAGGTTGGTTTAGTGGTCTCCAGGCGTTCATGATCATCCTAGCTAACGTAGTGAGCGGGCGCAACGCAGAATTGACACGTGTTGATGACCAGAAGATTAGGATTGCTGGCAGAGTTGATTTATGGTTGCCGGCAATTCGCGCAGCTCTCTGGTACAGGTGATAGACTATGTGTTGATTGATAGCTATTGAGCTTCCCGCGAGCGTGTGGGGAGCTATCGTTCATGAGGGGGTGAAGGAAAAGGAGTTAGGACACATACTGGCACCTCTTTCATATACTTTCATATACTGGCACCACGGACACCTTGGCACTTGTTTTCAAGTCATGGTGCATCTAGTGATTCGTCAGGAGACCTTCAAGTATCTTCTTTTCATAGGGTAGACAGTAAAGCACATTGCTATGGCTGAGTCAATCTTAGACACGAGAGAACCTGCTTCCAACCATCACCGGCGGTTGTATGAAGCACGCTATCGGCACTCGAATCTGGACAAATATAGAGATTGGTCTCGTAGGCACTATAGCAAAGTTAAAGTGGAGATATGTATACGCAAAGCTTACATTCGATATTCCGAAGGCAAAAGGCTTCGACCTTCCACCATGGAAAAGCTTGTAGTTGCCGGTTATTTGCAAGAAGGCAACTTGCATTTGAGGCCAATGAACGAGATCTGTCAATGGACTTGTCAATGATGTGCTTCTTTATTGCATGTTCCATCGGACCGGCCGTTGCTTTGCACGCGTTTGCATGGAGGGCGATTTCTGTCAAGATCAAGATTTCAACGCGTCCGGATGCTGAATTTTTTTTCCTTAGTACTCATCATAGGGGGTGCCCAGCCCTAGAATGAATCTGGACCTCAATGAAAGCATCTCATCGTACCGGAGCCTTCATCTCCTGCCGGTTACGTTCAAGCTTACATGGAACAAACTGGATAAGAAGAAAGACGCAAGTGACTTCAGATGCGCATACTCAAGCATCGTGGATGAGATTTCTTGGGGGTTGCACGAAGACACGATTCGCAACTGTTCCGACTAGAATGCCCTTGCCCTTCTATGCGGACGATCGGGCCCAAACAGCATTATTATGA